TATTTCATTATAAAGTTATCTGTTGATCTGCAATACGAAAGTGTAAAAGAATCGTAATTTTTCAGGTCTTTTGTTGCAAGAAATGTCATGTATGGTTAGATTTACGTGAGCAACAATCATTTATATTTCTTTCAAGAAACTTCATTTACCTATTTAGCATAATCTTGAAGTTTGTACACAGGTTTTTAGTGTGAATCTTAACAGAAATGTGACAAAATTGATGGAAATATTCTTGTGCGTCTTCGTAAAAGTTAATCTTAGTGACCATAATTTTCTAAACCTGGATATTGGACCAAACGTCAGTGAATCCTGACATCCAAGGGATAACTTACTATAACTCCCAGATCATTACGATTCAAGGGTGTTTTTCCAGTTTTATAGTTAGTGCTGCCTATATTCCGATTGGGCATGAAAACGCAGCTGCCTTGATAGGTACTTACCATATCTAAAGTCAGCTTATCTGAAACTTGAAACCAACATATAGTGTACGCATATCGTGATTCATTCTACTGAGAAGTTACTTTATTATCTAAAATTCAGTTCACTTGAGGACTTATGTCAATTATTCGGTCTTGTAAGCAGTTATTACTGACCACAGTGTATCATTCTACATTAATAGTCAGTTGGTGCATTTCATTCAGTGTCAAATATCTAGTGGATAATTTTTTAGTTCTGTTCTTTGGATAAGTGACTTTTTAGTTCAGCACTAAAATACACTAGCTGAGTAACATTCCGAATATTGTCGTAACAAAACAGTTACGAAACTTACACGACTCAGTTACTAGGACTGTAGCTCACTTGATCCTGTTGACATTACCTCATCTAGACAGCTTATGCCTTTAGTACGTTGTGCTAGTTAACGTCTACAGTAAGTAAACTATTTCGTGACATTGCTTTTTGAAGCAATTCTATGTTGAGAGAGGGCTTACAAGTAACTACATTTCCAAGTTGGCTGTTTATACTATCTGACTTGCATTCGGCCCATTATATCACGCATGCAATAATTAATTGGATGAAGTGAAAACGATGGGCATTTCGACTTGTGAAAACACGTTTCCTTTAGAAAACTAAGTGATAGAAACCTTGGGCCTCTCAATGTCAATATATACGGTATAAAAACAGGGAAATAACTTGAGTGGTGTGTTGTGCAAACGTTGCTGCTGTTTCTGATTTGAGTGATAAAAAACCTGGTGGCTGGTGTTACCTTTACATACAGTCATGGGCTTCGAAAAGAGTGATCACTCTTTACTAGTCTGGAAGTCTCTGGAGACGATTGAAAGAATAAATTGGATGTTGCTTTTCTTGATTAGTCATAATTAATTGATTTGTTTCCACTTTACGCAGTTTGTGGGAATTCAAGGACTGTTACCATCCTTGATAAATGTTTTTGTTATATGAGGATGACTTTATACCAAATACTTTCTGACGGGAGGTTTTTTCGAGTCATATAGTGTTACCGCGTTTATTTTTTCATGTTTGTGAGTGGTCAAATCTTTTGTTCACTGACTCGTATGTTAATGTAGTTAACCTGGTACTTAAGAGTAGCATTAAGGCGACCTTTGTTAACTTCGAATTGAAATGAAACCGCTAGAATCAATACACGAAATAATACTGTTCTGATAATTTATATTTGTTTATCAGCGTGGTGTACAGCAACAAAAACTAGCCCACCTTAACATTTATGTGCAGTATGGATATCCCTACTTTTCATTATTTTTCGTGTAAAAGAAAGTCTATTTGGTTGAGATTATTAGTGTTAAAAATTTCCACAAAGTATCACTTCTCTCCAATAGTTGTAGAGGTACGTTTTTGGTATCTGATAATAATGTGTAGTTCATTTCATTTTTAATTTTTTGGATAATTCTTATGCATTTAAAAGGGTTTTTAACATTATGCAACATCATTCTATCATTACCGGTTAATACATTACATTCACCCTTATATTATTTACTTTTTAAAATGAAATAAATGAGACAATATAATTTATAGGTCTAGTAGAAGCTACTTTTCTGGACTTTCATTCACATTTATCTCCTCAAGCTTTGTGGTATTGTACGCAGTTTCTCAAAATCGGATTAGATTAACTAGGTCTAAACTTACTACTCACTTGCTAAAAATTGATTTTCTGTAACGCTCAGTTTTTGTTAACCACTTTTTCATCTCAAATATCCGTTATGCTGAAATGTTCTTTGTGTTTCATCTGATAGTCACACAGTTTGCTTTAGCTCGTCCATTATTTCAAGGTGCATATATCTCATCCAGTGTAAAGTCAGAGTTCCCAGATTTGGCGAAATTACTTCAGAATCAAAAAGTGTTTACTGTAACACTAAGTAGAGTCATTGAAATGCAAACAGCTAAAAGTTCTTTTCAACTAAATCATTTCTCAAAATCATCGGATTTCGGTAAAGGTTAGTTATACATACTTATGTAATGTAATCATTTTTTCAATGAAAATGTAAAAAAAAATTTGGAATCAGTGCGTGATAAGTATGCTAAAATTTATTTGACGAAAATTGAAGTTGGTTGTCTGACTAGTTGATATTATTCTAGAACTTCTACCAAACATTTCAACAGAGTATTTTGTTTAACTTGTAATAAAATAAAATACTTTCATATGTGATTTGATTATACAAATTATATTATTCAACATGAGTGATATAGTAAGTACCATTACAATCCATTTAGTCCCATTAAAACACTATTTTTGAAATTTCTGTTGTTTGGTGAAATATTTATTATGTTGTTTTCCTAGATAAGATTTCAGTTAATTGCTAGGACACAACTTTACGCAAGTTTACTATAATGTATTTACCTTTAAATTCGATATTCCACTTTCTGTTTTATGGAAATGTTCATCTTACTAACATATAACTAACATTTATAGAGAAGTTATACACCTTAGCTGGTTTTCAACACAATGATCTACTTTGGAATTCCTTAATCTAATCATATCCAGCTAACTTGAAGTAGGATTTCACCTTATTAATGAAATTTCACAACACCCTCTCATCCCAACAGAAATAGCGGACAAATATTCCAATAATTTGAAGGTTTTCTTATTTCAGCTCGAACGGTTGTGTAATATCTTATGTCGAATCGTGACATGATTAATTACGGTTTGTCAATCAGTGTTTTCATTCACTCGTTTTTATCCGGTTTTGTTAAATTTGTTCTTTTGAACGTAAATTTGATTTTTACTACCTTGATATATCTTCTAGTTCAGTTAGAATATCCATATGGTAGTAATCTTTCACTCGAAATTCTGAAAACTTAGTCATTGGAATGATCTAAAGAAAATTGACGACATTAGGCATCCATTCGGTACGCATCAGATACAGTACAGTATTATACATCTCGTCTTTAATATCTGTTTCAGTAGTTAATGATGAGATCAGTCATTCAGTAACAACGTAGAACTTCGTACGTACGTACATCAGCTCGACTTGCCATACCACATTAGCACAGAGATTCAGTTGTTGATTCAAATCCCGTAGCGGGAAAGATAGTAAGAGTATAAGCAGTAGTCGGAAACATTAGGGTTTGAAGATGTTATTCAAGGAGTATAATCCAATGAAATAAATTTCGAAAGAGAAAAAAGAAACGGACATGAGAATTTCAGGAAATTAGAATTTGCGAGAACACAAAGAGTGGATACATCTGCGCCATTGCAAAAGTTTTTGAGCCTTGTCATTCAGGGTCTCTAACCATCAGTTGCTATCATCTCGCGGTCCCCAACCATGTAGTCTACACCTACCAACATGGCCCAGTCCATTTGTCAGTGACTTCATAGACTTGTGCCATGTTTTGGTCTGGCGACCCCTAGCTTTCTTCCAACCTATTCCTACACCGTAAAACATCTCACGTCGAGGCAGTCGGTGGTTAGGCATACGTAACACATGTCCCAGCCGTCTCAACTGATGAGGTTTCACTACTTCATCGATTGATTTGCCATCCTTACCCAGTACCCGTTTCCGAACAACTACTTTACTTGCACGATGGTCCCAGGATATACGAGCAATGTTTCGAAGACACCTATGGTTAAATACTAGTAACCTACGAATATATTCTACTCTTACCGACCATCTTTCACTGCTATAAAATAGGACGGGACGAACTGCTGCGCAGTAAACACGTCCTTTGGTTGATAGACGGATATCTCGCCTGCGCCATAAATGACGCAAGTTGGTAAAAGCTAGTCGAGCCTTTTGTATCCGTGCTGAGATTTCGTCACACACCAGACCACAAGGGCTGATGAGACTTCCTAGATAAGTGAAGCGGTCGACACGCTCAATTACTTCACTCCCTATCATTATTTCAGGTGTCGATGCAACCCAACCCTGAAGCAACATTTCGCATTTCGAGGAAGAGAATCGCATGCCGAACATGCTTACATTTTTGCTTATAGTGACCAGAAGACTGCATTTTGTCAGCGTCTTCACCAAACAGAACGACGTCATCAACATATTCTAAGTCAACAAGTGAATCTCCTGGTAGAAGTTCAACCCTGGAAATTTAGATGATAACATTGTTATCTCTAGAAGCACGTCAACGACAAAGTTAAACAAGAATGGAGTGGGCAGCCCTGACGAACACCACTTGAGCTAATCAATTCTGATAACAGTTCTCCATAATCTCCCACTCGACCAGTTGTGACCGATTAGAGAGCCTTTACAAGTTTAATGTACTTCTTAGGTACTCCTTTCAATGACAAACACTGCCACAGAACCTCACGATCATCAGAGTCGAGCGCTGCCTTAAGGTCGAGAAATACTACGATTGTGGGGCGTCTGAATGTATGTCAATGTTCTAGGACCTGACGTAGTGTGAATATCTGATCTATACAACCACGTCCAGGTCGAAAACCAGCCTCAGTCAGTCAGTCAGCTACAACGTAGGACCAGGCACATATGTGCATCGGTCCAGGTTGCCATACCGCATCAGCACAACAAGATGAACACCGGATTCATAGCAGTGGTTATGTCAAAGGTGGTAATATATAAGAGGAAGATTGCATATAGAGATATAATACAAGAAGAAAGAATTGGTTCGTAGAAAGAAAGATATGAAGCGATTTTAATCTCTTAGTTTAAGGGAAGACAGGGAGTGTATACACCGACGCCATTGTGATCGATTCTGAGCCATGTCACCAAGAGTCTCCAACCATTGGTTACGATAGTCACGCGGACCCCAACCAAGTAGTCTGCATCTACCAACATGGCTCAGACTAGAAGTTAGTGACTTCAAGCACTGATGCCACGTTTTGGTTTGGCCGCCCCTAACTTTCTTCCAACCATCTCCAATACCGGATAGCATTGCACGTCGTGGTAATCGGTGTTCAGGCATACGTAACACGTGGCCCAACCATCTCAGTCGATGAAGATTCATAACCTCATCAACTGATTTACCATCATTCCCTAATACCCTGCGTCTAACCTCACTATTACTTACCCGGTGATCCCAGCAGACGCCAGCAATATTTCTAAGGCATCTGTGGTCAAATACTAATAGCTTACGAGTGTCTTCTACTCTTAATGGCCATGTTTCGCTGCCGTAAATTAAAACAGAACGGACTGCCGCGCAGTATACTCGTCCTTTTATTGATAGACGGATATCTCGCCTTCGCCACAGGTGACGTAAGTTGGCAAAAGCCAAACGAGCTTTTCGAATCCGTGCTGAGATTTCGTCCGATACCAACCCATTAGGGCTGATCAGACTTCCAAGATATGTGAAGTTGTCAACGCGTTCGACTACTTCACTCCCTATCCTTAGTTCAGGTGTTAACGCAGACCAGTCCTGAAGCAACAACTTGCATTTAGAGGGAGAGAAGCGCATTCCAAACATTCTGGCATTGTTGCTCAGTGCTACCAGAAGACTCTGCATTTTGTCAGCGTCTTCACCAAACAGGACTATGTCATCTGCGTATTCTAAGTCGATAAGTGGACCTCCTGGATGGAGATCAATACCCGAGAACTCAGTCGACGAGAAAGTTATTTCCATCAGTAGATCTATGATGAAGTTAAACAAAAATGGGGAAAGTGGACATCCTTGACGGACACCACTTGAGGTTGCAAAGTAGATGACAGTTCGCCATAAGCTCTGACTCGACTAGTAGTGTTCGAGTAAAGAGCCTTTACAAGGTTTATGTACTTCTGGGTACGCCTTTCAATGACAGACACTGCCACAGAATCTCGCGGTCTACCGAGTCAAATGCTGCTTTTAAGTCGAGAAAGACCACCATTGTCGGACGCCGATAAGTATGCCTGTGTTCTAGAACCTGACGAATGGTGAATATGTGGTCGATGCAGCCACGACCAGGTCTGAAGCCAGCTTGGTTCTCTCGTGTTTGCAGTTCACGAGTCTTAGTTAGGCGTCTGATAATTATCGAGGCTAGTATTTTAGATATTATATTAGTTAAACTAATCCCTCTGTGGTTGTCACAGGATGATTTTGACCCTTTCTTATATATTGGGACGATAAGTGATTGTGACCAGTCTGATGGGATAACGTCTAACTCCCAGATTTTAGCTAAAATATTAGTCAACCTAGTCGCTAAAATTGGACCACCATCCTTAAAGACTTCTGGAGCCAGTCCATCTGGACCAGCTGCCCTTCCTCGTTTCAGATTAACTATAGCCTTTTGAACTTCAGCGAGAGTTGGGGGACCTACTTCAATGTTCCATTCACACTGTCTGGGAATGGAGGGTAGTTGTAGAGTAGCTGAAGGCCAGCTGAACTGTTCTCTGAAATGTTCCGCCCATCGTTCTAAACGTCTGGACTGGGAGCAGATGAGGGTATCGTCTTTTTCCGAAATAATCTCACTTACACTTGACTTATTAATTCCAGTTTCTTTTATTAGTCTGTAAAGCTGTCTTGTGTTCCCTATAGTCGCCGCCTTTTCCATCTCTTTTGCTTTCGTTGCCCACCACTGCTCACGGTCGTTCCTTAGACTTTTTCTTAACCTAGATCTGATTTGTTGTCGCTCTTCATCATGTTCGGAACCTGATGGGACGAGTTTGCGAGAATCTATCAGTGTGATAAACCAGCCTGGTTTCTTCTAGTCCGCTCTTCATGAGCTTTAGTTAGGCATCGAAGTATTATTGAAGCTAATATTTTAGATACTATATTTGTCAAACTGATTCCTCTGTAATTGTCACAAGAGGACTTTTGTCCTTTCTTATAAACTGGCACAATCAGTGATTGAGACCAGTCAGATGGGATTGCATCCGGTTCCAAAATTCTACCTAAGATTTCAGTTAATCTCATTGCTAATACTGGACCACCATCCTTAGAAATCTCAGGAGTAAACCTGTCAGGGCCTGCTGCTTTCCATCGCTCCAAATTTCTTGTAGCTTTTTCAACTTCGTAAAGAGACGGAGGACCTACATTAACTTGCCATTCAGGTTGACTGGAGATCATGGGAAACCGGATTGTGGCTGAAGGCCAGTTGAACTGATCCCTAAAGTGTTCTGCCCATCGATCCAATCTCCTGGATTGAAAATGTATAATATGTCCATCTTTCTCTGAGAGTGTTTCGCTAACAGTCAGGTTCCTAATACCGGTTTCCTTAACAAGTCTGAACAATTGTCTGCTATTACCTATTGTTGCTGCCTTTTCCATCTCTTTTGCTTTCGCTAGCTACCACTGTTTACGATCATTGCATAGGCTTCTTATCAGCTTGCGCTTCAGCTGACTCCACTCTTCGTTATGTTCAGAGCCAGATGGGATGAGTTTTCGAGCATCTATCAGTGAGGTAGATGCTGCTGAGATCCAGTGTTTCTCCCTAACCTTGTGGTTTACCGTACTAGCAGATATCACTGCTGTCTCCACAGCTCTTCGGATATCATTCCATGCTGCATCGGGGTGGGCATCACATACATGGCTGCGTAACTGTTTTCCTAGTTGTTCCTGAAATATACTCTTAGCTTGACTATCATTAAGTAGGGCCCTAGGAGGTTTCCTTGCAGCGTCTTTACTACGTCCAGTAAGACGCAGACAAATACGCGCTCGCACTAGAGCATGATCTGAATCCAAGCATGTGCTCCAGAATGAGCGACAGTCTTCTATCGAGCCCCTCCATCGGTGGCTGATAGCGATGTGATCTAGTTGGGTCCAACGTTGGGACGAATTAGGGGGTCGCCATGTTAAAAGATTTTTTTCCTTATGTTTAAAGTTAGTATTTGCAAGGAACAGGCGGTTATCTGAGCATAGCTGCAGCAGACGGTCACCATTATCTGCTCTTTGAGCCACGATGCTATAAGATCCACCCAAGTGTCTTTCCCTATCGCTTAGTTTGCCTACTTGAGCATTAAAGTCACCGGCCACTATTACTACATCCGAGCGCCTAGCTTTTCGGAGAAGGTCGGAGAGCTTTCTGTAAAACTCATCTTTTACATCATCTGCGCTGCAGTCAGTGGGAGAATAGGCAGAGACGACGAAGAGGCAACGACGAGTGTCCCTATCTTTCCGGATCCTTACTATTCCGTTTAGTCGAACAGCGCACAAACGACTGTCTACTGGGATCCAGTCTAAGAGAGCTAGCTCTACCCTAGGACTCAATGCTATACCTACGCCGGCGAGGCCACGAGAAGCAGCATCAGGGCTTTCAGATACACGAAGCGTTAGTCGAGTTGGTTTGTTACTTTGACATGGTGAGGTCAAATGAATGACGCTACTCGGATCCTGTATGAGCTTTTCTGAGACACAACATACATCGATGGTGAGAGATCCTAAGATCCTAGCTAAGGAAGCCTGTTGTCCTATTTGGCACAGTGTCTGGACGTTAAAAGCTCCTACGTGTGTTGTAGAGCGTGGTTTCAGGAGACCAGGAATAAAGTTCCGCGTACTCGAATCGTTTGCCCTAGCGGTGCGAGGTGATAAAGAGACGTGAGGAGGGTTAGTCATGGAGATAAGAGAAGTATTAGGAGGTGTAGGAAGGATTTGAATGTGACCAACTTGTTCTCGTGTGCTGTTACGGGTATGAGGGCTGATATCACATCCCGGCTGCGCACACTGTGGTAGGGTATTTCTTGAGGTACCTGGAAAGGAAATCGGATTAGTGTTGGTCTTAACGACCTGGGAGCGTGACCGCAAAGCCCAAGGGACAATTGCTTGGGGCCGGTCGCGCACGATCTTTTCATGGGAGGTTTTTAATGTGTTAGCTCCGTTCTTCAAAGGGCCTTACCTCCGGAGACGGAAATCCGTGAGGTAAGTTGAGGTGTGACATTTTTAGGGTCGACCTTTTCTAACCCCTTCCTTCCTTGTGAGAAGGGAGCATCGCTTCAGATGCTGGTTGTCCAAGGGAAACACCTTACTGCTGTCACTCCCCTCTGCAGTCAGCAGTACGACTTCGTCCTCAGACCTTGAGTTGCTGCTTTTAATCTAACCGTTTTCCAATCGACATGCCTGGCATGGTAGAACCTACAGGAACATATGTTCCAGCCAATATAGCTCGGTTGGGTCATCACGATAGGCAAGCCCGACCACCGCGTCAAGGTAGCAGCTACGGTCGAGACCAGGTTGTACTCTGGAATCGTAATAAAATATGTAGATAGTCAGCAAGTGTCAAGTTCTTTATAGTGTTTTCTCGCTTACGGCAATACTTTAAAATATATATACTACTACTAGGTTATATGACATAATGACTAGCATCTGGTGACTGGTAATAATGCTACCAGTTATTTGTGTAATTTTGAACCATAAAATTCAATCACTATTAACAGCGACTAACAGGGAAAACCACTTCCATCAATTAATCTCGTTTACTCTCATAGATTAAAATCTGCAAAAAAATCATGCTCTTAGTTGTAGACGTTATTGCACAACTAGGATGTTTAAACACAATGGTGAGCTGTACCATGAACATCTGTCACTGTCATTACCGACACATTACTGCGTTTACGTAGATTGTTGTGACCCCAGTGTTTTTATTAATAAAAGAAGTTGCATGAGCTTCTGATTATAAACTACTGTCATTTAATACCGTCTGTAGGCCCTATTGTTCAACCCCCAAAAATTAGCTGCAAATCAATTCTTCTACTTGGTAAAATATGTTTATTGAAGACAAACCAACTCGAGAGAGAAAAGATGAAGATTTACTTCACATCCAAATATTATATTTCAAAATAGTATATCGGTACTAATAATGTGTGCAGATTTAACTTGTATTGATCATTTCATCAGATATGAATAACTATAACATAAAAGAACATCTTACTAAATTACTCCATGACTAAGGTTATCAGAATACATTTGAATGTCATGCTAAATTCATTCAATAATTTCATCTTTCATCCGTTCTTAACAAAAATGTGAACTTTATCCAAATAGCTCACTTTATTAATCGAACACCTTACTTTCGAATATAAGATTCCTCACTTACAGTTTCACTATACGTAAACGAAATTTGGAATGAAGTAATGGCTTTAAGCATCCATCAGTTTAGTACTATATCCTCTCAAGAGTCATATATTTTAAGAAGTATAAAAATATTTTACTATCGCTGTATGTAAATTAATGTCACCAACAAGAAGGTTATTTTTTGCTAACTGTCTCTATATATTTTTCCTGGATAACAACAAGTTTGTGTGTAACACTATAGTGACGTAATACTGTTTAGACGACAACCTCATTTCCGTAGATTTTTTCATGAAAATGACTTTAGATCTTTTTCATGATGCAAATATGTAGCTCATCTAAATTTGAGTCCGTTGCATTCTGTCTAATATTTCAGATCTTTATGCTGATTTCGTCGCGCCAAAATTAAAAAGTCTTTAGATACTGAGACTTGGCAACATGACGGAAGTATACCATCGGCATGTCATCGGCAATATTCTGTGAGTAGAATTCATTATTTGCTTGCATGTTCCTTTTTATTCACTGTATCATACGATTGTTAAATTTGTGCAACTCCGATATTCCAGTTACACGAAATCTAGAAGAATGTATCAAAAGTCACACTCAATTACCTGTCAAAGACGATGGAGGATATGATCTAAAATGTATTAATATCGGTCCAAGTTGTCACGCTCAAGGACATTAAAAGAAATTTTAAAAATTACAGTCGTAATCTTAACATATGGAACCTAAAAAACTCAAAATGATACAAATGAATTTCAAGAATCTAAAGTGTAGGATGAGTTAAATGAAAGAAAAGCAGTTGCGGCTGGTTTTGAGCGACATCATCTATGTCCGTTCACGGATATAAGTCGCGAATATCTGACGTCGAAAGTAACTTGAGATTTTAGATCAAAGTTTAGGATCTGGAATTGAGTTTAAAACTATCCACATTTTTGAGATGTCACCATCCAAAAACTAAGTAGAAGTTGACGCTCATTATTTTAATTAATTTCTACTAATAGTCCTCAAACTATTTCTGTTATTCAGCAAATATTTATTAAACATCATTAAGTCAGAAAATACTGTACCAAACGTTGTAGTTTGAAATCATTGCATAGTTATATTGTTGAAAATCTAGTCATATACTGTAAGGGGGACAAGGTCACGCGTAATTATGTATAAATGACAATTAGAATAAACTTAATAATGTTGCATTCACTTATCGAAATTACAGGTAATTTCAATCTCTTTTGTCCAAGTCCTGCAACTGCTTGTAAATTTAAACAGTTTACACATAATGACAAGGTATGAAATCATTTGTTGAATTCATTTTATCTTCTGAAAGTCGTGTTCTCTTTCCCAGTTCAACATATACCTAGCTATCAATATGGCAGTTTGTGTAGATTTTTGAGTGGTGTCGAGATAACGAACCGACCAAAGTTAAATAATTATTTAAAACCACGAAATTCTAGT